GTATTTGCAATTTTAAGTAGGATGTCCTGGGTAGGACTCTCATGCCTCATCTCATGCCTCATCTGACTTTACTGGCAAGGTTCTATTTGTTCTTTAAAAAAAAAGAAAAGAAAAGAAAAGAAAAAGCTGACCTTTCTCATTCTTTGGGATCTTCTCACTTCCCCTGGATCTAGGTAAAAGCCACCAGAGTGTTTTTGATTCAGAGTTTCTCTAACTTTCAAAAAGTAATAATTCTCTGTTCTCTGAAGCTAGAATTTATGTGTTATTTTGTTCTAGATTGCTGAAGATAGCATGTTAAACAGCTAAATCATTCAAGATTGTAAAAATAAATCTGCTTCCACCAGCAGTTTTAGAGCTCAATTAGTTTCTATCAACATATCCCTCATCAAAACATTTATGAATTAAATAGTTTTTTAAAATAGATATGCTAGAGTGAAATAGAGATATACCTTGAGCATTTCCAATGATGGACATCATCCTAATTTTATGCTTAACCACATAATTTTTCTGATCTGGAATTTTGGTCTTCTGAGTATAATTGTTTTCCCAAGAAGGTAGTATAGAGATGATTACTCAGTTGCAAGACTGAGTTTTTATGTGGATGTCCATCCCTTACCTATTATATTCCACTTCCTTTCATCGACTCTGACTGGGCCAGCCCTCACCTGGCATCCTGTTCCTCTCCAACCCAGTAGTCACACAGCTGCATCCAGAGCTAGGTTCCTAGCTGTTCTACCCTGTTCCTGTTCCTACCTGTTCTACCCTGAATAAGTAACCAGATGCTCCTCCTGAAGCAGAGTGGCCCAGGCTTGTAGGTAATGCATTTTTTTTTTTTCTGAGAACCTCAAGGGCCATTTTCATATAAATACAAAGCCATAGTGTTACCCCAACTGGCTTCATCCTCTATTTACTAAATACCATCTCATTTCTAAAAACACTCCCTCTTGGGATGCCTGGGTGGCTCAGTCAGTTGGGTGTCTGACTTTGGCTCAGGTCATGATCTCGTGGTCCGTGAGTTTGAGCCCCATGTTGGGCTCTGTGCTGACAGCTCAGAGCCTGGAGCCTGTTTCAGATTCTGTGTCTCCCTCTCTCTCTGACCTTCCCCCATTCATGCTCTGTCTCTCTCTGTCTCAAAAATGAATAAACATTAAAAAAATAAAAATAAAAAAATAAAAACACTCCCTCTCTTTCCTAGGACTTCTTATTAGGAATATTCTTCCTTCTATAACCTTTGTGGAAAGTTAGGAATACTTGTATGTTTTGAAGAAATCTGGAATTTGTGTGTAGAGATAAGAACCAACGTAATTCAAGTTCTGGTCTATTATTCTGGTGCTGGGTAATTTAAAAAATATTGGACTGCCCTCTGAGTCTTCAATCATCTATGTGGTGATAATAGAAAAAACCGTTGCTATTTCAATAGGTCATAGAGAAGATAGTTGAGGAATTCATTGGCAAGCTTTGGGTGTTGCTTTTTACAGTATTTAATTGTGAAATATAGGTGATTCATTGCCAGATTATTGCTACAAGACCACAATACTCTCAAAGAATTTTTATATAAGATTTCAAGTGGGGTTGTTAAAAACAGACTTCTAAAGAGAGACACACATAAATCAACAGTGTTCATATGCCATGTGGGGGAATCCTGGTATACCATTAATCCTTCTTGGAATGTGCTGAATTTATGGAATGTGGAACAATTTTGTTGGAGCCTGAGTATTCATTCCACATATGCCCCACGACCTGCCTGAGACTAGAGTTTCCTTCAATATTTAGTGTGAGACTATACTATTATCATGCAATACTCCATCATATGGATTGATAGCAGAGAAAAGCAATTAGCCAGCCAATGAAAAGGTTGAACATTTGTGCAAGGTTTATTGACAGAACGATTATGTGTCAAACACCGTGCCAGGTGCTGGGGATACGGATATGAATAAGCACAGTGCCTATTTTGAGAGGCTTGCAGTCCAGGCCAGGAATTGCATACGTGATACAGGAACACGCTACTCCTTCATGTAATATCCAGGGCAGATATGAAACTTTTTTCCTTCCAAGACTAGATGCTCAGCGGACATACTGTTCCACACAGCCCTCCAGGAAGCTGTCACCAAACTACTGGTGTTTGCATGTGAGGTAATACTAATACTATGTCATTACAAATGAGAGCTTAATAATGATGGGGACTGACTGTGCAGCCGGGTGCTACGCTATGCCCATGTATTACCTCATGCCGTTTCTACGACAGTTCCAACTGGCAGCTATTATTATTATTATTCCCATTTTTACAGATAAGAAAATTGAGTCTTAGAGAAACTAACTCACTTGCCACATTGATATGCCTGGTAAACATCAAAGTCACCATCTGAACCTAGGACGTCAGAATTAAATGTTTATACCATCTAATACTGCCTCTTATATTTCATCTCTGATTAAGCCCAACCACCGTTTTAATAGTAAATTCTTCTTACGTTTTTTTCTCTTCTTGAAACAGAAGAAATGAACTCTCTTTGCTATTTTATTTATTTATTTATTTATTTTTAAATATTTTTTTAATTTTTTAAATTTATTTTGAAAGATAGTGCGTGCCAAGGTGCACGCATACATGAGTGGGGGGCGGGGTGGGCAGAGAGGGAGAGAGAGAATCCCAAGCACCATGGAGACTGACACCGGGCTCAGTCTCACGGACCCATGAGATTACGACCTGAACCAAAATCAAGAGTTGGACGCTTAACTGATTAAGCCATCCAGGCGCCCTGAGTTCTATTTAGCTTTTTAGATTTTATTTTTCAAACCTGTAAGCCTGTTAGATATTTGTTTTATTCATGCATGCAAGAATTACAGAACAAGCACTAAGTTCCAAACCCTGGGCTAGATATTGGGAAACACCAGTGAATAAGGTGGAGGAGTTTCCCGCTAGGTGGCCCTGATGTTTTGTACCTGTCTGAATTAGCATCCTGCTCCTTACCTCTAGAACTCTGTCCTGGAAACTTCATTCTGTGAATTTTAGGAACAGGTCTATCCTGGGAACACTGCTATCAGGAGATCTGCTGCAGCAGGTTTGAGCTATGTGCCCACCACTGCCACTACCTCATTGTGCCAGGTGCCATGTCCCACAGCCTCAAAGAGAAGCTGGCTTTGACCATCATGACTGTGACTTCAGGCTGATGGGATCAGAAGAATAGTGGATCAGTTTATACTTTAGGATGTCTCAAAGACTGGGTATTGGAACTTCAAGACAAGACCAAGTCTTTAGAAGTATACACCTACAAATTTTTGAGTCTGGAGACAGGAGCTTCAGGCCACAATTATTATTGTCGTGAGGTCCATGAGGTCACTCTGAGCCTCAGTGAGACAGAAAGGAAGTTTCCTAGGCAGGTAGGCAGATAGAGAGTGAGGCCTCGGATACAATGACTCAGCCATGTGAAAAGGAGTTCTTAGGTAGGCAACTCCGAAGTGGCAGGAGTTTCCTGGAGCACAAGATAAAAATCCAGTTACCTGTGGTTCAGCTCCCTGGAAGCAAGTGTATTGTGAAATTTGGAAAAGATCAACCAAAGGCATTATGCACGAAGATGTACATAGGTTCATATATTCCTAGATTCATATGTGTGAAATAGGAGGTACAAAGGACAGCTGTCTCAGATGACCAAAAGTGACCAGCAGGCTTAAGAACCAGCAAAAATAGCATCTCCTGAGGCAGGGTTTTCAGTTTCCTGACATTTTAAAGGTAAATAGCATGGAAGTAAGTCAAGTATATACTCCTGGCCCTTAAGAGATAATATTAGGACCAAATCAAAGGTCTCACATAGGTGAAAAGTCAGCCCATATTCTGTGAAGATGGAGAGAAGACCGGGTAATGTAAAGGACTGGTATGTACTCCCTGTGAGGAAGGTGTTTCGTGGTCACTGACACTTCCTTTAGTCAATGTGGTGAATTTGGTTCCCTGGGACAGGAAGGAAAGGGATGAAACACTGTATGTAGGATATAGAATTCCTTGGATGGTATAAGTGACTCATTGGAACCATTCAAACTTTATACCCACATATCAGTTTAGTTCTCTTTTTATTAACTCCCCTTCAAGATCATTCCTTCTACTGTAATCCTGGGAACCCCAAGGTAAGAACAGGACCGTCAGAAAGACTGATCAGATGTGCAGTTAATGTTCATTATAAACCACAATCCTCACCACCACAGTACCGCCCAGGAACAAAGTTGGCTCCAAAGTGTGAAGCAGCACCTTTTGGACTGAGATTTAAAGGTTATCAGGCTCTAAGGGAGAGAAAGCAAGGTCATTGTAATGTGGATTGCTTTTCTATTCTGAAGTATAGTAGAGAGGCCAAGGTTCAACGGAGGTGAACTTTCCCAAATATGGTACTTCCAAATCAACAATAAAGGCAGTGATGAACAGCCATGACAAAGACAATCTGAAGCAAAGGGAAACAGGTTTATAATCCTGGGTTCTGCACCCAGGGGGCTAGATTAGCTGAGGGGACAAGTAGAGCCCAGTGGCTCACAAAATTTGTTAAGAGGAAGAATTGAAGGTATCTGTATCAGTGGAATAGAATATCAGCCAATAGATGGGAGGGGATCAGGCTACCAGCAATATGCTTTTCACTTCTATGTACCTGGCATCCCCAGGGAGCCAGCATTCTAGGGCTCAGCTTGGTTAAATAGGCTTTGGACACGAACCCTGTCAAACTATCAAGAAGAGATGTTCTATGTACCTACCACAGCCCCACCTAGTGGAAGCATCCTCAGTTGGTACCCGCAAGAAATACATAGATGAGGTTCCCACATGTATCTATAGGGCACAGAATCAGAGTAAGCATGGCTGAGTCTGAAAAATGTGGATAACTGCTATTGTACCTTCGAACCTAAAAAACTGCAGTTAATCTTTTAAGGCTCTTTCCTCTGTAGTACTTGTTCATGGCTGCTGCTAAGTTTAGATTCTTAAAAAAAAAAAAAAAAGTTATATTGAGTGTGAGAAATAAAAGGCCACCTACCCAATCAAAGGAGGGACGCAGAGACTCCAAGCACAGTGAAGATAGGTTTAATCAACGTTCTTGCAAGAGCGGTTGTCTGATGGACAGGAACACTTGGGGCAGTTACAGCAGACAATTTATCTCCCAGCATGCAAGTCTCTTGCCTGATTCCTCATTGGTTGAGTACTACAGAGGTTATAGTCTTACCTTGAGGTCGCCTATACCCAAGTAAGGCAAAAAGTCATCTGATTGGAACAAATGTACATTTCCTGATGTGACTCAGTGACTTTCAGTCCTTCCTTTGTTTTTTGGCGCATGCTCATTGCAAAGCCCATGAAAATAAGCTCAGGAAACCAAGAGAGGAAGAACCAGTAAGTGAAGTGTCCAAGGGTTTGGGACTCCATTATGGGAGGGGAAGAGTTCCTATATATTTCCAATAGGAAACAGTTGTAAACATACTGTTATCTAGACAGCACAGCTTTTATTTGGTATTTCTGAAAATGAATCATCTCTCTTATTTCTCACAGGGCATTTCCCCCAAATCAGACAGTAAGTTAGGTTCTATCACCTGTGTTCCCTCATTTACCCCTAACAACTCTGGGAAGCTGGTTCTATTTTCTTTAGTTTGCAAATGGGAGAATGGGTCTCACAGAAGTCAGGTAGCTTGAGTTCACAGACCTAGTAAGTGGGCAGCCTGGATGTGAACTATAACCTCTGATACTAACTCAGTGCACATGTAGGTGTTGGTAAAAAATGAAACAATCTTAGTGATGAGGGAACGTAAGGCAAACTGAGGGCAAAACACAAGCTAACAACACCCCCCTACCCCCACCCCCCAGGTGGGATATGTGTGATATTCCTCAGGCAAGCCTGGCTGCCCAAGAACAAAGGAAAGGAAAGAAAACAAATGGTTAACTGATAGAGATCACAGTCATGCAGGACATGAGTCTTCATCAGTTTACAAATATCTTAGAAAATTACAAGAAAAAGGCAATCTTATCAATAGCCTAATCTCCAGAAACCTATAGACAGTTTCCTAGAACCCCTAATATCACCCTCCCCTCCACAGTGATGTGGGGAACAAAGGCAAGAAGGAAATGGCAGATAAAATTTCCTTATAACCTGCAGCCCATTGACAAATATTGAGAAAAATACAGAATGTAACATTTCTCTAGGAACCCCCTACCATCCTGATGTTAATGCCTTACTAGAGGATAAACTACTTAGCTTGACAATAGCAAGGTCTCAGGTCTCTTTAGCATAACAAAGTCCTTCTGGAAGTCTCCCTTTTGCCTTTATCTCCCCCAACTCCATAGTATATAACCAGTCACTTTTCACAACCCCAGTGCAATTTTTTCTGCCCACGAGTCCTGTCCTTGTGCTTTAATTAAATCTTTTTTTGCACCAAAGATGTGTTTAAGAATTCTTTCTTGGCCATCAGCTCTGAACCCCCAGCACTCCAAAACCCCATCATTAGTGAGAAATATTGACTTGTTTTATTTGGAGGTATATGATGCAAACAAGATGCTTTTTGCAGATTCTAGACAGCGTCTCTTCTAGCACCCCCTGGTTGACCACCCTGGGAGAAGATTGACTAGAGAAGCAGAGCAAGAAATTATTTCCATCCACATGTGTAGGGCATACACAGCAGACGTTCAGCAAGAGTAAGTCAGGGCCTCTGTACAGAAGGGACTTACATTTCAGGCAGGCCACTGAGGTGAAGTTTGGTATAGTAAGACAGAGAGAGGGACCCAGATTCACTTACAGTCAAATCCTTACTTGCTTTACAAGTGAAATGATGATCTGAATTGGTTTGCCAGAGCGGTCCCAGTTTACAATGGCTGAATCCTCGATTTGGACAATAAATATATGTGGTCACCCTACTTGTAAACTGGTCATAATCTGGCTCTTACTACTAGAGTCACATCTTTTGCCCTTCCTCCATGGTCCTCTGTGGCTTCAGCCATATTGAATTGTGTTCAGATCCTGAGACCTTTATCTAATCTCCAGGCCATTGAACTTACTGTTCCTTTCCCCAACGTCACTGTCCACACCCACAACCCTCTACTTTGCTGGATTCCCTTCTACTTGTCTTTGTAGGAGGGCTTGGTTATCACTTCCCCTAGGAGTTCCTGCCCCACCCTTCCTCCCCCAGCTGGGGTTAGCTGCCCTCCTACTTGCTCTTATTTCCCCATCCCAGTACTCAGTGCAGCTTACTGCAACTTCCTGTCTACTCGAGCCTGTCTCTCACTGGCCTGTAGTCACCAGGAAGCTAGGCCAGTACCTTATTTGTAACTGTATTTCCAGTAAAGACCAGAGTGCCTGCTTCATTGCAGGGGTTCAATAAATGTTTGTGAGCTAAGGCTGAGGCCCATTTTTCAGAATTGAGGGTCAAAGTTAGGGAGAGTTGAGAGGCCACAGTAACTGGGGCTAGAACTCCAATGGTTGGGCAAGGTTAGCTTAAATTTCTCTTTCTGGGCTTGTCTCTTTTGGATCAGGGCAAACCTTTGGATGGGGATTGCAGAGCCTCACTTGAAAGGCCTTGGAAGCTGGGGCCCAGCAGCACCTGAAAACAGAGACAGAACACTCACTGATACCAACTTGGCACCAAATTGGGAAGATGAACCCTCAGAAGAGGCATCCCCCGCTCTCTGCATGTGGAAGTAGGGGATGGGGTAGAGACAATATGTTATGAGGAGGAAAACACGGATAAGAAGAAACTAACAGAACCTCCCTCTCTGGCCTCTAGGTCCAGTTCTCAAGACTCAACCTCTTTTACTTTGTTATTTTACTCATTCCAACCTCTCCTAACCTTGCACACCTGATACCTGTCCTTGCCTTCTGTGCCGAAACCCCACCCCTAATATCAGCTTCTCATCTGGCTCTTCCAACAAATGCTTCCTATTTAACTCATCCTTGCCTTTGCAACATTAGTCTTTGCCTTCTTTTCTTATATAATTTTTTTAATGTTTATTTATTTTTGAGAGAGAGAGAGAGAGCGCGCCTGTGCACACGTGGGAGAGGCAGAGAAAGGGAGACAGAGGATCTGAAGTAGGCTCTAAGCTGACAGCAGAGAGCCTCATGTGGGGCTCAAACTCAGGAACTGTGAGGTCATGACCTGAGCTGAAGTCGGACGCTTAACTGACTGAGCCACCCAGGTGCCCCAGACATTGCCTTCTAAGAGGTCATTGTAAACACCATCAGTCCTCAGGCCGATCCATTTTCTAACAGTGGACCTCACAGTGGTCCACAGGGCCTTGGTCTCTTTCCCTCTTAAGCCAGCTGATTATTTGTTTTTCTGGTCCCTCAGATTCCCATCCAGCCATGCCTCCTGCTAGCTCTTCAGCTGGGACTGGACCAGCCTTCAGCTGGGATTTTTGTAACATATTCCAGTA